ACAGTTTGCCTTCAGAAATCGCGGGTGCTCAATCATTGGAGGTTTCTAAGAAGAGACTAGACAGTCACTTGTCTGAAATGGTATAGGTTCTCCTGCTTGAGCATGGGACTGGACTAGAAGACCTCCATGGTTCCTTCTAGTTTCTGTTCTATTCTATTCTATGCCATGCCATGCCATTCTTCTCTACAATTGGCCAAAATTCTGTAAGGCAGAGCAGACAACATTGTAAGGTTCAAATGAAGAATGGAGGTTTCCGGGTAGACCAACATGGTTTGGAAATCAAGACAGTCATATAAAAAGTTGATCTACTATGGAAATTATTCCAATTTCTTGCTGTTCCCAGATAATTTTTGTGCTCTGGTAAGGCTCCTAACCTTTAAGTAGGGATAAGTGGCACTAATCAATCCTGATTGTTGAAATTGGAGTAATAGTAGACCATGTGTGTCGGGATGACTCTCAGTGCAACTTGGTATTTTTCTGTGTCTCTGCCATTTAACTTTTCTGTATAACAGCAGTGATGCTAACTCAGCCTGGACGTTCAGAATATCTAATGGGAGTTACAATCCACTTGTTCAGAACTGTGAGGTGTGCTTCTTCCATGATGCTAGGACTTAGTACGTTGCCCTGTTTTTTTCCTTCTTCTTCCAGTAAAATGCAAGTGTGAGGAGCAAGATATGTGTCCTTACAGAAGTAGCAGTTACATCTCTACAATAAAAATTACAAGTAGTCTTCGATTTACACTGTTCACCATTTCTGACCATTTTTCACACTTAACGACCATTGCAGCATCCCCATTGCCATGTGATCAAAATTCGGATGCTTGGCAGCTGGTTCATATTTATGACGGTCGCAGTGTCCCAGGGTCATGTGATCACCTTTTGTGACCTTCTGACAAGCAAAGTCAATGAGGAAGCCAGATTCATTTAACAACTGTGTTACTAATTGAACAACTGCAGTGTTTCACTTAACAACTGTGGCAAGAAAGTTCATAAAAATGGAACAAAGTTCACTTAACAACTGTCTCACTTAGCAAAGGAAAGTTTTGGCTCAATTGTGGTTGTAAGTTGAGGACTACCTGTATCTTATAATAATAATGATGATGATGATGATGATGATGATGATGATGATGATAATGTTGGAAGGGACCTTGGAGGTCATCGAGTCCAACCCCCTGCTCAGGCAGGAAACCCTATACCATTTCAGACAGATGGCTGTCCAGTCTCTTCTTAAAAACTTCCAGTGATGGAGCATTCACTGCTTCTGGAGGCAGGTTGTTCCACTGGTTAATTGTTCTAACTGTCAGGAAGTTTCTCCTTAGTTCTAGGTTGCTTCTCTCCTTGCTTAGTTTCCATCTGTTGCTTCTTGAAAGTCCGTTTAATGTAGTTGTTAAAAGATTTGTGTTGGTAGTGGGGTGAGTCAGATTCTAGTCCTCCTTCAGTCACAAAAGATTATTGGATTTAATTGTTTGTTTGTTAAATTTATTTGCCACCTATCTTTCTGTTGGGCTACTCTAGGCAGTTTGCAGCAATAAAAAGGGAGAAATGAAAAGAGTGTAAACTGAACAGAAGTAAAATAATAGAACAATAAAATAAACAGTGAAAAAGAGCACAAGAATACATCAATGTCTTTAAGAAGAGACTGGACAGCCATTTGTCCTAAATGGTTTCCTGCCTGAGCAGGGGATTGGATTAGATGACCTCCAAGGTCCCTTCCAACTTTATTATTATTATTATTATTATTATTATTATTATTATTATTATTATTATTATTATTATTATTATTATTATTATTATTATTATTATTATTATTATCTGATAACAAAAATGGATGGATGGAGAGCAGAGAGCAAGGGGGAGGGAGGGGGAGTCTGCCATCAATCCTGCAGCCGCTTCCAGTATGGAACTCCTCCATCTGGTCTTCAGAACAACGTGCAGAACTGGCTGACTTGGATGACTTTGAACCACTCATTCTCTCTCCTACCTCACAAGGTTGTTGTGGGGTGGGGAAATAGGAAGAGAGAGCACTTTGTATCCTTTCTGCTCCTCAATGAAATACAGTATTTTAGCAAATAGAAATATGTATAAAGCTCACAAGCAGGTTTGGTTTTACTTTAGAAACTGTAAATACACATTATTGTTGAAAATTAAAGATGCTTTTTTTAGAAATTAAATTTAACTGCAGTGAATACTCGGCTGCTCATGTTCATTCTTCATTTCAGCATGCTTTGACTTTTTTTGGCATAATAAGCATTTCTAAATCACCTGGGTCATGACTAAGTATCATGACAAGTCATAGTTAATTCCTTTGTTTTGGATTCACTGGTAGTGAAGGTAGATTTTGTGTGTGTGTGTAGTCGGTTTGGTGTGATTATTACAGCCTCCTATCCTTTCTAAAACCAGGCACTGTCTTTATGAGGACCAACCAATAATGGACAAGCTTTTTCCTCCTAACTGTTGAAGCACTATCCCTCCATCTTTCAGCTGGCAAAAAAGTATGCCTGCATAAAAATGTGCTGACCACATTGCCAAACTTCATTCTGCCATAATAACAAGGCTAATGAGTGGCACTGCCATAATCTACATAGGGCAAACCAAATTAAGGAAATGGATTGGTAGAATTCCCCTGGCTTCACTTCCACCAAACGTCACTTGTTAATGGGAAAACAACCACCTCTCATTCTCCTCAAAATGGAGTGGTTTGGCGTGAATGTAGGCAGCTCTGGGATAAATTTTAGGTAGATGTAAATCTGTTAAATTACTTGACCAAAGAAATCTTGTCCTGTTGGGTTTGTTTTTCTATGTTGTGCTATGCATTTATTTGTGGAAAACAAAACAACCACTCCATAAATGCATGGCACAACATAGGAGAACAAACCCATCAGGACAAGATTCAGCAGTCCATCTGCATTTAAAAGACAAAGACCACTCTTTCGAAGACAGCAAACTCCACATTTTGGACAGAGAGGACCGCTGGTTTGAAAGAGGGGTCAAAGAGGCCATCTATGTCAAAACTGAACAGCCCTCAACAGAGGGGGAGAGATATGACATCATTTATCTCCAGTCTACAACAGTCTTTTCAACAGTTCCAAGAAGGCTTGGTACCCATTTGCATTATTCAGCTGATCCTGACAACACAGATAAACCTCCAGGTGGCCTCAGTGATTCTCTAAAAGAATGCAAATGACCAGCTGTCTGCAAGGAGTATAAATCCTTCCACTCGCCACCATCCAGTCAGAGCTGAAGAAGCTTCTTGGATGAGAAGCGAAACATCTTCAAAGAAAAACAAGAAAGTTCAGTTGCCTCATGAAAAAAGCATCTTTGGGACAGTGTGTTTCCCATGCAAATAATAACAACAGCCATCACTGTGGCACTGGGAACTGCCAAAGCCAAAATGGAGTAGACAAAATCATATTCCCATTAAATCAAAGCTTTGCCTGATTAGTATGATAGTTGTAGAGCTCTTGCATAAGTTATCAGAGATAATAAAAAGGGTAAAAAATATGATCACACAAATTTCTCTTGACAGCAGAAGCAATGAAAACCAGCAATGCACCCAATGGAGACAAAAGTAGTACACACCTGACACTACCTAGCACTCACTCCTATCTTCTGTGCAATAAAGGACTGGTGCTCTTTCAGAAGAGTATGAAGTATGTATTTAAAAATAAGTTTGGTGCTCTTTTCAGAAGAAGCAGGAAACAAGTTTGTATAAGGAGTCCACCTATGATCTGACAAGCCCTATTTGAAAGCTCAAGCCAGGTATTAATAAAGTGGAAGTCAGATGTCCTGTCTCTCCTGAGGTTAAACTACCCTGGCAATGGAAAGCAATGCCAAGAAACCAGAATGGACGGCTGTGATCACCAACATTTAAACTGGCTAAAAAGGGGCAGGGTTGATCCCAGCTCCCAACCATGTCAGCAGTCAAATGGTCAGTGAAGTGTGCCAGATCGTACTTCTTGCAAAAATCTATTGAGAGAAGAGAGGAGTGGAGAGAGAAATATTCCTTTAAAGCTGGAACAACTGAGGATGAGTTTAAGTTGCCTCAGATATGGATTAAGACTTAAACAATGTCAGGAGGACATGGAAGGAAAAAAGCAGATATTGAAGCAAAGTTTGTGCTGTGGTTAGAGGCAAATGAAGAAGCGGACATAAATCATCACAGTGCTTTTGTTTAGGGCTACCGTAGCTAGGCTGCCAAAAACCAGATGACTGCTAAATGACAATAAAGAATTATAGTTTTTCATATCTCTCTTTTCTATTTAATGACCATATGGATTTCTGCAGCCCAAATATGGTCATCCTTGGTGACATGAAGCTCTTAAGAGTAATATCAGCTTGAACTATGAATATATATGCATATTTCTGAATGCTTTGCTCTTAGGTAGAAGATTATTTAAAGTATTTTAGTGGACTCAAATGTTATTGCAGTAGGAGCTGTCTGTAAATAAGTAGCACACAATAGTCCTTTAAAATACTACATATTGTTTGAGAATGGCTTCTCCATAAATGGGACCAAGTTTGTGTCTTTTTTTCTCAGTGATTATTGTGCTTCCTTCTGGCTGGACCATGATTAGTTGGGCATTTCTTCCCAGCCACCCTTTTCAGTTATAAGCCACTGACTAAAGTTATCATGGAGCAATTACCTATATACATACATACATACATACATACATACATACATACATACATACATACATACTTCAAAATTATGAGATTGTCTCACCCATTTTTCTTCTTAAAGATTCTTCCATAACCATGAGAGCTAAAAAGTAGATTTTGAAATGGATGTAATAGAATTAAAATTGCCAGATAAATTTGTATTCATTTATTACTCATACCATTTTTAGTACATATCAGGTGCTTTACAATTTCTGCAATTTTATTATGCAGGAATAAGCAGAGAGTTTTCCAGCTGATTACAAATTTGTACACTATGAGAAGTGAAATCCGAACTGTATAATTGTCTTTGATACTGATTTTATTTTTGTGTTTACTTTGCAGGTGTTTTTCAAGGTCTGATCATCTTGCCCTCCATATGAAGAGGCACATCTAAATAATAGGGACCATACAGTGTGACCCGGATGCAGTTAGACCATAGCGTCATGGGGAGAAGGGTGGAACCCAATTGCCTGTCTCTTGCTACCTTCCAGAAGAAGAGAATTTGATCACATGTAAACTTCTATTCACACAACATGCACTAAATGCTGTCATGCACTCAGCAGTACATTCATCTGTTTCCAATGCCTTGCCCATCTGAAAGGCAGAAGACATGTGATTAGGAAAAGGGATACAGGGGAAGTCTTTAAGACACAGTTGCTTACAGCACTTCAGAACTTGAAAATCTTTGTTCCTGTTTATTGCCAATGGAAATCAAAGCAGATGGAAGAGGATTCCTTGCAGGTGAACAGCATAGAAGCAGCATATATGTAACTTGCTTCTTGGTGCAACTTGACTGGGGAGGGGGGAACCTATTTTGGACTTGCATATTTGTAGCACTAACTTTTCTTTGGAGATAATTTTGGAAGGAAAACTAATGACCTAGAAAAACCAAATTCCAGTTTGGTAGCCAAAACATTACTGTCTTGGTTCCTTTCTGCTGATTTTGTTTTAAGGCACCCTTAATGATTTATCAAGATTCCTCAAGAACTTCTTGATCTGCTCCATTTTGTTTTTTCATAGAACTGATCTGTCAAGATCTGTTTAAGTCAATACCAATGGCCTTAATTGGCAGTACACTCTGCAGCGATCCTAGGATACACCTACCAGTTTTCTTGCTTCAGCTGTTATGGACTTTGTCAAGGAGATATATATAGAGAGAGAGAGAGAAAGAGAGAGACGTACTGTTTTGTTCCTTTAATTTTGGTATTTGGTTATTGCACATCACGTGCACAGAGGAACTGTGAAAACTGCTGATATGATTGCATAATGGTTGACAAGCGAAATCCCTGAGCAAGATCACAGTATATCTTTGGAGGCATCACCATATTGCCATAGTTTGAACTTCCTATTTAATTACTTAATGAAAACTTGAAAGAAAGCTTATTTGAAGCTTTGAACCTTTTCTCCAAGTTTCTGAGAACTCATTTACACACCTGGATATCTGTCTTGGATTCTCTCACTCAGGCCTGACTTCAGGTTTTCCTTCTGCACCCTGGGGAGCATGCTTGTGGCAACCCACAAAAAATGGTTAGCAATTCTGGTTGTTTGTTGTTGCTAGCCTTTTACTTGGTGAAATACGTGGTAATATATACAGTATGTGTGTGTCTGGCACTCGCAAAAGAAATATTTTGGGTTAAGCAGATCAATAGAATACTTGCAATCATGCAAATTAGGAGTGAGAACCTCTTGCTTTTAATATTAGTCTCCTACATGTTTTCTTCTAAAAGAGAAAATGCCTACCTAGATTCTCCTGTCCCATTTTATTAAGGTGGTGCAATTCCCACTTGTCCAACACAATGCAGTTGAATGAAAGGATTGGCTTTTTGGTAAGCACAGACTTCTTTCCAAACAACTAATTTAAACAAAAAAAAAAAGTAGATGCATGGGTCCACTTCAAGCAATGGTTGTACTATTTAATGAACAATGAAGGCATCAGGCTCATGCTTGGATCTTGTAGATAGTTTGATGGTTGTGGTCAAATTAGATTATTTTTTTCTGTACTTATCTACACACACACACACACACCTTCCTCTATATATGCATAATGTTTATTTTTAGCTAGTTGGAGCTGGCACTATTCCAAAGACTGCCTTTTCAAACTATCTCTCATGCAGGTAAAGAGATAGTGATTCAGAATGGCTGTGTATAGTTTATTTGGGACCATCCCTGCAAGATGTGCTGAGAAACGGAATGGCCTGTAACTCTCTTGGTTGCTACTCTTCCACTCACTAAACTAGCTCACTGCCCTACTTTGGACTGTTTTTTGACTTGTTGACTGTTCACTAATTTCCTAATTCATGTTTAGGATGCAGAAACATTAAAATAACTTTTTATATCTTCAAATATATAATGGAAGTACAGACACTGATACATAATATTTAGCTCTTGGGGTTTTCTTTCCATCTGTAATTTCGTTCAGCTACTGAGGTTCCAAACAGTCCTCTCCTCGGGCTCAGATAATCCCTGCACATACTGTGACTATCAACAACCATTTATATTGCAAATAACAAAATCTAGCCCTTAATGAATGGGATGAGATATGGACCAAAACCCGAATAATCTTTACAGAGGCAATTAACATTAGGATTTAAGAATAAGGGCAAGATCTAAGTTTTATTCCAAAGATTTGTGGTGAAGAAATCTTGGAGCATTGTTTGCTGACAATCTTGTAGTTCTCTTTAACCGTGTTTGCATCTTTTCTGTTCTGTGGAGGTGTTCACTGGGAATTTTGAGAACTCTGTAACTTGGTATTGGAATATTGTGTGACAGTTTTAGAATATCAGAGAAGAGAGAAGACTGAACATCTAGACAACGTAATAGCTGAAAAATCTCTACTGTCAAGATTTTTTTCTGTTTTCTTGTAGAGTCTTGCATAATGTGCATGCATGTATCTGTGCGTATGTGTGTATGTATATAGATATGTGTGTATGTACGTATATATCTGTATGTGCGCGAACCCACACACAAATATATATGTATCTGTCATGACATAGTCCTTAAGTAACACCCATAGACTAAAATATTCAGTTCTGTTGTATCTAGAATTTAATTTGAGACTGTAAGAGTTAACAGACAAATTTAAAATAAGTTTGCTTCCTTAAATAATCTGAAGCAGATGTGAATGGGAAGCCAGAGAAACCAAAAGAAATTGTGTTCATCTAACTCTTATTGATATTAGAAGTCTCAGAAAATTTTCTGTTAACAGGACTTGAAATAATCTGGGGAACAAAAAGCTTGTTCCTTTTCTCCCTGTTCAAAGTAGATTTGAAGTATAGGGACTTGGGACTAAGTCAACTAAATCGGACAGGGCCTCTTCCTGAGTAAATGTGAAAGGGATCTGCTCTCAGCCTGTGAGAAGATGAATGAGGAAGAGATGTTAATCCATAGTTGATGCATAAGATTGCTATGTTTCCACGGTAGATGATATGGTTATTAGCTGGCCAGCACCACCAAATAAATAAATAATCAGAAGCCTATAACTTGGTACAGCAAATCAATCACAGCTTAGCCATCTGCCTCTGCCCCTAGTTTGCAATGTTTGCTTGTAAGGCTGTTAGCACTTGTCAGCCTCTTACTTCCCAGTGAACCACCTCATCCGCTGATGGTGATAGGATCTGTCTGCAATCCTAATCATACTGACAGTCTCACAAGCGTGGGAGGCAGGAAGGAAGAGGAAGAATTCTGGACAATGAGCCGTGGGAAATGCAAACACAAATGGTAATTTGTTCTTGAGATTTTCTTTTGACCACTTACCGAAAGAAAATCATGTGTGATGGTTGTGCCATACCAAAAATGATTTTAATGGGTTCTGTATTTCTATTACAAATTCAACAGAAATTGAGGGAGAGAGAGTGTAAATATTTCAAGGACTTAATTACATCATTTAGCAGATCTTAGTTTGGCTTTTACCATCCTATAAAAGGATTTTCTAACAGCAATGATGGCAGGGTTTTACCACCCAGTCTTTATTAATGCTCTCAAGGAAAGGAAATGGCAAGGCAAGAGAGAGTAGCTAATTTCCTAGTCTAATATAAGGAAGCTTGGATAGAAATCTGAGGCATTTTATTCAGGCAGCCCTGCCTTTGAGCAGTATTCTTGTTGCTTCAGCAGCAGCAGCAGTGTATGCTGCGTCCTGTTTTCAGTATGCCAGTTTACACTATGCTCTGGAAAATTTAGAATCGGTTAATTGCATGGCATACTCTACATGCTGGCTTGTACTACACATTTCTGGTAGACCCCATGATAATTGGATTCAAAAGAAAACTCTTGTTTTCTTTTAAACACTTAACAGAGGGCCATCTCTGTGCGTTTGTTTGTGTGTGTGTGTGTGTGTGTGTGTGTGTGAGTATATGTATGTATATGTGTTAAGGATTTTGCCTTTCCTTGCTAAAATAAGATAGGGGCTATCTTCAGAAGAATAGCAAGAATTGACACACACAATCGACCCCTTTCAGCAACAAGGATCTCTCTCTTTCTCAGTAGGGATACAGTAAATGCTTCATTTTTCTTAAAAGCCCTCGAACAATAGGGGGAAAGTATCAAGAATGTATTAACCTGCTGTAATTTCAAAAGCACACTAAAATATTCTTAGATTTGAAAGTTAATGTTGGCATACTCATATTTTTAAATTGAACTATGTTTATATTTTTTTTTATTTGTTGATTGGGCATAAGGCCAAATTGCAGGCATACACTCCCAAGTTCTGTGTATCTATACATATGCTAAAACATCTGAATATATCTAAAATATAAGCCCATACAGATGAAGTAAAATCCAACTCTGCCTGAGGTAGTAATCAACAATCCCTGTTTCTGTCTCATTTGAGTGAGGGCCCTTACTACTGACAGTGAATTTTAAAAGAATGTTGGCTTATTGGGAATAATTTTGCTTGTGTGTATCTTTATTGTATACCATGAGAAAACAGAATGAAAACGGGGGGGGGGGAGTGTTTACAAAAGTACCCTGAGTTTTATGTCACATGGAGGGAAGTGACATTAAATTGACCTATTTATCTGCTGAGGCTTCAGTGTGCAAAAATCACCTATCAATATAACATACAATTTCTTGGACATCTTTTTTTAAATTCCTGTGTGACAGATTATTACCTGGATAAATAAATCAGCATGGTTGATAGGTCCATTTGGGAAGCCATTCCTGAAAGTAATATTTTTACACGTCTGTCACTTAATATTTTCATTTATTGTATTACTATTCCTGTGGCTAATAAATGGTTCCCTGGAAGGCCATATGGTCAGACCAGAATATATATCTGGTCCAGTATATCCAGTATATTGTTATTCGTTGTTATTTGTATTTTATGCATTTCTGAACGTTGTATCTGCTAATCCCTGAGCACCAAAATTGTAACACTGTTTTTAAGCACTCATTTGTTATTGATCCTTCACTACCTGATAGACATTGTATTATTTTTTAATTTTTTTAGTTCCACAGATATAGTGACATTTGTGTGAAGTTGCTCAGTTCTAAGAAAAAACTAAACAGCACTTCAATTATGCTAGCATGTATCATCAGCAAAGGAACACTGTAAGTATATACATGGTAAAGATCTCTTCAACAAATTGAGAGTACTATAATGGTACCATTTTGAGAACAGTATTTTATCCCAAAATGAGCACTGTATAAAGAGAATATTTGGGGGATTTTTTTAAAAAAAAACACTATAGAATATCACAAATATTGGCTGAGCGGAGAGGCTGAGCACACAAGGTAGTAGTAGTTTTCAGCCCACCTCATTCTTTGTCTTGTGTTGAGTTCTCTACACCTTCTCTTAAAGTAGTGCTTCCAGTGGGGATACAATAGGGCTCTGCTCATGTCTGGTTCCTTCAGGAGTCATCTGCACTTGAAGGAATTCTGCATCAGAGCTGGGATTATGCCTTTTACATGGCTGCCAATTCCATGGATGCCACACACTTGGAGGGCAATAGGACAAGGCTAGAAGCCTGGATGCACAAATGTATGAAAAGGTTATAACAAGTAAATAACTTTTCTGGGGATAGAATGGACAAGTTAATACTTCATTCCTGGTGAGGAGAAATACTGCCCCAAATCCAGAATCATGTACCAGGGTCTGTCTTTTCCTCACATGACCCTTACCAGATGCATAAGCTCGTCTGCTGATTATTGTGCACAAACCCACAAAGTGAACAATATTTAGATGTCTTGAGCAGTTGGTCAAGCAATTGCCCTTTTTTTTCCACCCTCCTATGTGGGAAAAATTGCAAATCAACAATCAGAAGTCAATCAGAATCTGAATTGGGAAGGAAAAATTGGAATCTCATCCCAATTCAAGGTTAGCCAAAGCTGAGCTTTATTGCCAATCTTCATAATCAAGTCGTTTGCTGTTTCTAAAGCAAGGTTATTATTGTGAAGTATATATTTTTGACAGAGGAAACATGCAGAGATGATGCATTGAATTGGGAGGAAAACATAAGGTTTGAGAATACGTTAAGAGGTCCTGCCTTCTAGGCAAGATGGGCTGCATTCAAATTTAAAAAATAAAGAGATCAGGCATCTCTCGTGTATGCTGTTGTCTACAGTAACACTTTCCAGAAGTAGTTCTCAGTCCCAACTACTTCCCAAATTTCATTGGGGAAGGGATGGAATTAGCAAGTAGCATTGCATTAAACCCGTGTCACTCCTATTCCACAGTTCTGCCAAACAAACAAAAAATTTGGATTCTAAGAAAGTTCAGAAAAATATCTAAAGGAATAACAAAGTAGGCAAGCTTGCTTTTGCCCCTTATTAGCTACAATCCTGATAAGATTGCCTCAAGATCAAGATTAGCTTCTAGTTGCATCAGTCCAAAGATCCACAGCTCCCATTTCCAGTCAA